CCGCCGCCAGAATCCCGGACTCGGTGACGGAGGCGCTGAAGGAGCTGCAGAAGCGCACGGGGTTCCCGATCTCGCAGGAGAACGGGCAGCGCAGGTACGGCCCCCCGCCCTCGTGGGACGGCCTGCCGCCGCCCAAGGGCTGCGAGGTGTTCATCGGCAAAATCCCGCGCGACATGTTCGAGGACGAGCTGGTGCCGGTGCTGGAGCGCGCCGGGAAGCTGTACGAGGTGCGCCTCATGATGGAGACGGCGAGCACCAACCGCGGCTACGGCTTCGTGCAGTTCACGACGCGCGAGGAGGCCGAGACCGCCCTGCGCAGCCTCAACAACCACGAGGTCAGGCCCAACCGCTTCCTGGGCGTCATGCGCAGCGTGGACAACAACCGCCTGTTCGTGGGCGGCATCCCCAAGAACCGGTCGCGCGAGGAGGTGCAGGAGGAGATGCGGCGCGTGACGGAGGGCGTCGTCAAGATCATCCTGTACCCGTGCGTGAACGACCGCACCAAGAACCGCGGCTACGCCTTCGTCGAGTACGAGAGCCACAAGGCGGCCGCCATGGCGCGAAGGAAGATGTTCACGGGGCGCGTGCTGCTCTGGGGCAACACGGAGGTCAAGGTGGACTGGGCCGAACCCGAGCTCGCGTCGATCATAAGACGTCATGGCTAAGGTATGTGGGGGCGGGGGGGGGGGGGTCTATCGACGCCGGCGCTCGGCCCAAGGGGACCTCAAGAAATAAGTATGACGTCGACTTTGGTCTTCGCGCGGGCTCTGTGTAATGTTAATCCCGGCCAAGTGGACGGTTTTGTAAAGGGTCCCCTGCTGGGTTTTGAGGAAGTGGCGCCCGGAAGTTCTATCGGGCGAACGTGGAATTTTTTATATATATTTATGTTTTATTCCATTGAAGCTGATCTGTCTCTTTGACGTTTTTTGGTGACAGTGCGATGTGGTGCTTAGGCGCTTCTTCAAGAGTAACGCAATTTATCTGTTTAACTTCATATTTCATCCTATGTCATCGTCCCTTTTCCCATTTCCTCTCCTCCTCATCCCTCCTTCTCCTCCTTCTTCCTTCTGCTGCTGCCCTGTTCCTCCTCCTTCTCTTCCTCCTCCTCCTTCTGCCTCCTTCCCTTCCTTCCCCTTCCTTCCCCTTCCTTCCCCGAGGCCCCTCTTTCCTCTGCTCTCTCCTACCCCGCTTTCACCCACTCCTATTCATCGTCCTCTTTCCCCATTCCTCTCCCCTCATCCCTCCTCCTCCTCCTCTTCCCTTCTGCTGCTGCGTGTTCCTCCTCCCTTCTCCTTCCTCGCTCTTCTTCCTCCTCCTCCTTCCTATCTACCTCCTTCCCTTCCTTCCCTCCTTCCCTTCCTTCCCCAGCCCCTCTTCTCTGCCCTCTCTCCTACCCCGTTTCACCCCACCTCTCCACTTTCCCCATTCCCCCTCTTCTCTTCCTCTTTCATCCCATCCTCATCCTCTTTTACCCCCATCCTCCTTCTCTTCCTCTTCCCTCCTTTCACCCCCATCCTCCTCCTCTTCCTCTTTCACCCCCATCCTTCTCTTCCTCTTCACCTTCCTCCTTTTCCCCTATTCACCCCCATCCTCCTCCTTCTCCTCTTCCTCTTTCACCCTATCCTCCTTCCTTCTTTACCCCCATCCTCTTTTCCCCTCCTCCTCTTCATCACCATCCTCCTTCTCTTCCTCTTTCACCCCCATCCTCCTTCTTCCTCTTCACCCCCACCTCTTCTCCTCCTCCTCTTCCATCCCCATCCTCCTTCTCTTCCTCTTTCACCCCCATTCCTACCTTCCTCCTCTTCCTCTTTTCACCCCCATCCTCTTCCTCCTCTCTTCCCTTTTCACCCCCATCTTCCTCTTCCTCTTTCACCCCTATCCTCTCCTCCTCCTCTTTCCTCTTTTCACCCCATCCTCCTCCTCCTCCTCTTCCTCTTTCACCCTCCTCCTCCTTCTTCATTCACCCCCTCCTCCTCTTCCTCTTTCACCTCCATCCTCCTCCTCATCCATCCCCATCTCTCCTTCCTCTCCTCTTTCACCCCATCCTCCTCCTCTTCCTCTTCTCTTTCACCCCTATCCTCCTCCCCTCCTTCTTTTCCTCTTTCACCCCATCCTCCTCCTCCTCCCTGTTTCCTCTTTCACCCTCTTTTTTTTCTCTCCTTCTTCCTCTTTCACCCATCCTCCTCCTCCTCCTCTTCCTCTTTCACCCTCCTCCTCCTCCTCTTCCTCTTTCACCCCCATTCCTCTCCTCTTCTCTCACCCCATCCTCCTCCTCCTCCTCTTCTCTTCGTTCACCCTCCTCCTCCTCCTCTTCTCTTTCACCCTCCTACCTCCTCCTCTTCCTCTTTCACCCCATCCTCCTCTCCTGCCTCTTCCCTCTTTCAATCCCCAATCCTCCTCCTCTTTCACCCATCCTCCTCCTCTTTCTACCCCCATCCTCTCTCCTCTCTCTGATTCACCCCCATCTCCTCCTCTTCATCCTTCCTTCCTCTCTCCTTCT